TCAGGTAGAGGGGTTTTGTCCAATCATATATCTCCCACCAGCCAGGCACCACCCCGGTAAGGACAAGCTCTAATCTCCTGACGGGTCTCTTAGCATGTGTGGTATTGTAGTGCATGTAAGTGTGTGTGTGTGTGCGTGTGTGCAAGGTGTAAGGATAGGACATGGAGGAGTAAGGTGAAATCGCCCGACGTCCGTGGCCCGTTTTTTAGGGTACTGCTCCGGCATCCCGCTAGTGTTGATCGGAGAAACCACGGAAAAACTACCTATCAGAGCAGCCGGCCCCTAGAATTCTCCCCCAGACAGCGAGTGAATTGGACCTAGCTAAGACGCTAGTGTCGAAGATCCTGCCACTCTAACATGTGACAATATGTATACGAATACTTGTATCATTGGGTTCGACGTTTTACGCTCATCATGATAGATTGAAAAATATGTATAGCTCTATTTGAAAAAACAAAGTTACATCAAATATTTCGTAAAATACAAGTGATAAAAGAGAAATGAATACACAATCAATTAGCCTCATTATTTTATGCACTTCCGTGAAAATTGCATTGCAATAACTTCAAACGTTCAAAGTTGTAGGAGGTGCTCAAGTTACATGACTCATCCGGTGTAGACTGTCAATTTCGATTGTATTCATACATGTACAAATGGATGTGCGAAGGTACGATATTGCGGGCCCCATTAGCTATACCAATGCCATCGAACAGTGTATGAAGTAACGGATATTTCCGTTTTAATCTCATTGGCGTGTTCAACAAGCGTGACAAAAGTATTCAGATACCGCTCCAACTGATAACAGAAGCTCCGCCATAAAGCGCGGATCGGCGACAGAAAACGTATCAGTGGATGTGAGGCAACTGTCCCGTACATAAGGCGTTCAGATGATCCGTCAAATCAGTCTAGAAGGCCGACATGTCCAGGAAAGTAGGTAAAAGGCAGAGCACGAGAGATAGGTTATTGTGAGTCTGCGTAGCCAGGGAAAATCATATGCTGAAATAGGCAAGGTGGTAAACCGAATCTGGAAAACCATATTTAGAATCGTTAAGAGAGGGAAAGAAAGAAGAAAACTGACGTTAGGTGTCCACGGCAGGGGCGTCCGCAGAAACTGACGAATAGGGCACCCGAAGGTAAGTTTTCGCATGGCGGAAAAACCTAAGAAGGTCTTCTCGTGTCACAAGTAAACGAACCCTGACTAATATCTGATTAAATGAAGACCCTCTTCTTTTTTGCTTTAATTAGAACTTTACAATTAATAAAATGTTACTCTAAAGCATTTTGGGTACAACTGTGATAGACAGTGGGTTAAATGATTCAAACTGAACGCATTTCATATGAAGGTGTAGCAGTAACACTAACCGGATGATTAAATCATTGCAGAGTTTCATGAAATGGATGTGATCGTCCTATTGACTGCCGTAGTTCTTACTATCTATTCCGTTCGAGCTGAGGATGCCATTCCTTCGTCACTCCTCGAAAGACTTGCTTTCCAGGTCGGCCAAGAGGAGCAGATGTATTCTCAGGTAAAGCTTACACCCATGGAGTTGGATGTAATTATTAATTATAATTGATATTATTATTATTATTATTTATTTCAAGCGTAAAATAGTTTTTTGTTATAAAAACTAACACCTTTATGCACTAATATAATACTAAAATTGAAACTACAAAATGAAAATCAAAAATGTATCTAAAGAGGAAAAGAAGACACAAGCTATGTATGGAGTCAGTTGTGTTTCCAAATAGATTACATTTTGTCTTGTGATAATGAACACTGAACTTATGAAGTGTTGTGAGTTTTGAATATTTAGGACAGGGTCTTGTTAGAGCATATGTCATACAAATGCAATCAAAATTATAGAAAATGTGGCAATATTATTTTTATTCAATTATCAAATCAAATTTTACGGGCACGAGTCAGACAATTGCTTATTCCTTGATAACATTGCTGTTGCCCGATCTCGTACTCTGATGACAATCACCACCGGAATATGATTTACTAAATATTAAACAACAGTTTTGTTTCATGCCAATCAATTTCACAAACAAATTACTCTTGACCAAAGACATATACAATCGAGACCGTAAAAAAATAAAAAAGTAAAATACAATAAAACAACAAATCTATTTTTATATTGGGGCATCACTGCATCTGTCCGCTATCAGTCACCGAAACACTTTAATTGAAAAGCTCGTTATTAGCGTTTGTCGAGAGTTCTGTAACCGCGGCGAGGCAGAATTCAATTCCGCTTGCCGTTGATTGACAGCGTCTGCCTCCCACTCGTCTTACGTCCTCAAGCGCTCTCCTTCGCTGAAAGTGCAAATCGGGAACTTATCAACACGTTAACATTTTTTCGTGCGCTATCTTGCACCTTCGGCCATTCGACCTCCATTCGCAACCCCCCACTGACTCATAATGGCCGCTCTTGTCCTTCCTCCATTTTTACTTTTGCGCACTTATGTGCGTAGGTTCCATACGCTTCCAGTCTCAGTATCTTTTATTTTTGATTCAAAGAAAAAAAATCACTTAACTTTTTAACTTAATCTTATTTTACCTCAACCCACTTTTCACAGATGTATGTTAATATTTCTAGGCCTTTGAAACATACTCAGTTCACAAAACGGTTAAAAATGCATTTTTCACTTTACACTCATCTCAAACTCTTCTTCTCCGAAAGTTTTTCTTCAGTTTTGTTGAGTGGTAGACGTTATAGAGTGCCGAATCAGGACCATAGTGGTTCAAATCCTCTAAGTCACATTCCTTCACAACATTCTTTGCAATCTTATGTGTAAGCACATGTGTGTTGTGAAGATTCTAAACACCATGAGATTTCATCACCACACCCAACACAAGCATCTCTTACTACAAAACTGAGTGAGATGTCGGCTGCAAACGTATATTATTACAACAAATATGGATAAGACTATATATTTCTCAGAAGTTTTTCTCGTATATTGACTTTATCTTGGCCAGGCCGAAAACTTATGGAACCACCTATACTCCGTAAGAAGAGTAAGGTAGGTAATCGTGCGCCGGAAAACGGCCAATTTTCGAAAGAAAAGCTCTTATTTCAGGGCCCTCATAACGAAAAAGTGGATAAGGAATGTATCAAGAAACGGTAAAATAAATGTTGCTAGTTCCATCTTCTCCATATTTTCAAAGATTGCAAAAAGTTAATGTTTCAAAACTACAAAAAATTCAGCTCTTTGTGAAAAGTCAGCTCTTTGAAAAATGTCATTACAGTTTTTTAAATTTAAATGTTACGTAATTTGTGTCTGAATTTTACGCAATTTCTAAAAAAGAGCTCCAAAAGTTGCCATTAAATTTTCTCCTTGTTTGAAAAAGCAGACGGTAAATAATACTGTACTATTGACTATTTTCGAAGCACTTTCAGTATTTTCGAAAATTTCAAAAATTGCCTTTTGGAAAGATCGGGTCAGACAATTACGTTTTTAAAGTCATCCTGAGTTCTCACATTAACGTGCTTCTGTAGCGTATTGGGGTGGCTGAAGGCGAGTTAAGTCGCGGAAACTGAGTTCGGGTTTCGCTATGGAGAATAAATTTTGCTTCTTGAAATCAATTTTGCATGTGTATGTAGTGGCATAATTCAACGGAGCATTTAGAAATAATATGAGAAAGTATATCATGTAGCACCACTAGCTTATTATTTTTCTTTAATTTGTTGCGCCTATTTCGCAGGAAGTCTCTTATCCTTTCTGGGCAGTGATCGAACTGTATTACGTATCTGAAGTAATCCCCCGTTAATTTTGTCATTCGCCTCATAACGTCGCGGTGTCTTCTATCCCTTCTGCCGTACGTAGCACCGTTAGAAACCGGAGTTCTCAGACTGACACCCATCCAGGAATGGTGGTCAGTCTGTGGCGCCTTGTTTCTTAGCTTCCTTGACATCACGGAGCGTAGTAAGCAATGCGGCTAAGGACACCAGCCGGTATTTCACGACTGTAACAAAACGTTCTCCTCTCTATTTCATTCTTTCTTGTACGATCATTATTTTTCAAACATCTGAAATGTCTTGTGAAACATCTGAAATATCTGCAACTTAATTTTCTGAAGTTTCCGTTTCGGACCGCTGCGAGGCAGGCGTGCAGTTGCGATGTCGGTGCGCTGTTTCGAGTATTTTTGGCTGAGTGTTGTGGCTTGGTGGGCTTTCCCAATCTCCGGGCGTTATCTCTCGATCGGTATCCATTCAGTGCTGGTCTGCCTGGCTGGTATACGAAGGAACTTGTGTTGGAGTAAAGTGTACGTTGGCTTGGTAGGTTGCGTCATTTTCTGATCGTGTATTTGTGACGTTGTGGGAATGAGCCAATCGCCACGTAACTCACGTTAAGACTTAGCCATCCTTAGCAAGAAGATATCTCCACCCACAATCTATTAGCGCAGTATATGAGGACAGGAAAACGTACTAGCTGTGTCCGGTAGACTAGGAGAAGGAGGGGACCCGACCCGACACATGTTAATGGAATACGTAAAGGAAACCATTAATTTAAGTGTCACAATAAGGGCAATGAGGTTAATGGCTCGGCGCCCCGATTCAAAAAATATCTATATGTACGTACGTACGCAAAAGTTTTTAAGCTTCTTCTATAAAACTTGTTTATCTCCATTGTGCATTTACATTAATGTTTTCAACTGACTAGTATTCAACATTTGCTGAGCATCACCCCTCTCGCATATTGAGATTCTGCTTCACCAGTTCACGCTCGCACCAAGACCGTAACTACATTGTGGTCACAACACCGAGTGAACTATATTCAGTTAATGAGTAATGAGACGCATTAATGAAAATAACGAATCATATGTACATGTCTGCGGTAAGAAAAGTTTACCAATGTACATTTGGTGCAACTGACTTTGGATGATTTTTCCAGGGTTCAAACGACTTCAGCCGCAAATCGACCTTCGACTTCATCGTGGTGGGTGCAGGGGCGGCGGGATGCGTGCTCGCGAATCGACTCTCAGAGGTCGGCGGCTGGAGCGTTCTGCTGCTGGAGGCAGGCGGCGACGAGACCTACGCCATGGATATCCCTTTCTTCAAGTAAGGATCTTCATCCGAATCAGTCACTGTATTCAACTTGTATGCCACGCATCTCACGTTAAGACTTAGTCATTCTTAGCAAGAAGATAATATTTCCACCCACAATCTGTTAGCGCAGAATAGGAGGACAGGAAAACGTACTCGCTGTGTCCGGTAGAAAAGAATAGGAAGGAGCCGCGACCCGACACATGTTAAAATAATACGTAAAGGAAAGGGGAATGTCATACTGTAAACTGCAAATAATACCAAATAGATTTCTCCGTTACATGGTTTATATCCAACAAACAATTATATAAAGAATAGAAAATAAGATTCATCATTAAACACATAGCCCATCTCCCCAATAACTTTTAATTCAAATATCAACACTATACCACACGTCAGCCACTACGAAATATACTCAGCAGAATATACTCCAACACGAATAAAAAATCGAAACGCTTTCAACGCCTTCCTAGACATATTCTCGAATAATTGTGAGCATTAGGCGCATATTGTAGCTTCCTACCCCTTTCTGTAGTTAGAGTTAGTTTTTAGATTAGAAAATATGAATGGTTGTAAGCCAAACAATACATATGAAAAAGTGATGTAAACTGAACTATGTATTTCCGAATGAAAAATAAATGTTATATATTAAAAAGGAACTTTATGAAATTCTATTTCAATCCAGATGAAGGAACCATCTTGTACACGGAATCGAAGTACTTTTTAAAAATTTAACTGCGTGAAATATTTCAAATATTTTCAATGTTTGTTGTGAAGTAGCATTGAAGCAAGAAATAGAACTGAAGAGTGTATTATTAGTAGGGAAAGCATTATTTTGAATCACGAATCATTTGTTTCTATGATTATTGCACCGTTATTATTATTATTATTATTATTATTATTATTATTATTATTATTATTATTATTATTACTAATTTGCATGCTAGCTGTTTTATCTTATTTATGTAATTAACTGTCAACGGGTTATGCCCATTTGCAGCAGCAATAAATTTATCTCATAAGATTTCAGAGAAAATTCGCTCGCGCCAAGGCCATCGGTAACCCCTTTTCGAGCGAGAGCGTAGGCTTCGGCGGCCGGAGTCAGTATTTACTAGGCTGTCCGGGTGACGCCGCGTCCATGGCGACGGTGCCGACGTTTCGGTCGCCATTCTGCGACCTTCCTCAGGGCGTAATGCAGCCCTTTTCGAGCGTTGTCGCGCCCTGTACGTCCTGAGGCTGCTACTTCCTCTTTGAAAAGTTTTTCGCTCTTTCAAAGGATATAGACGAATAAGGGGGTAAAAGGGGGCCCCTAATCAAATTGATAATTACAATGATCATATGAAAATGAATAAAAAAAGCTGCGGTTTCCCAAAGCACCAGCCTCCTAGGGCTCTCTGTTGCAGAGAAACAATGAGAAAAGTGTTTTCTCAGCTTCTATTGCATTTATTAGGATAAAAAAATACAGAGACGAGGGAAAACTGTTGAATTTGTAGGTATTGTTGTCAACCAAATTTGACGCCAAATTTAAATAGAAAAATAAATTCTTAAAATTGATTTTCAGCGAAATAACGTTCCCAATTTTCCTACATACAATGTGTCTAATAACAGTCTACAAAATATACTTTTTACAGATTTTTTAACAATTTGGATGATAGTGAAAAACATTAAAACCATTTTCTTTTGTTCAAAATTTAAAATTTCAAATATCAATTTAAAAATTTCATTTTCTTAAACTCATAAAAGTATTTTAATGTTTTTCTTCCAGCCTGGCCAAGCTGGACGGTCACAACATCTTCAATAGTAAGGCCAGAAATTTATTTCTGAATGCAATTTATCCGTTAATTTAATATTTTATGACGATATCATGCACCCTTTTAAAATGAAATGACTTGTTCAATAATCAGGAGTGCGACTACAAAAGAGGAAAATCGTCGGTATGCCGCGCAGTCCTATTAAATTAATAGGTAAAAAAGTTATACACGATGTGATGAAAAGTATCGGGACATGAGGGTGAAAATGACTTACCAGTTCGTGCCACCCTTCATCGGAAATGCTGGATTTCAATAGTGTTGGCCTACCCTCAGCCTTGATGCACGCTTCCACTGAGAAGTGGTATAGATGTGGGTGAGGCCTGTCTCGAAGTCGACGTTCCAAAACATCCCAAAGATGTTCGAAATATCTGAACTCTGTGCAGATCAATCCATTACATGAATGTTTTTGTCGAGTAACCACTCCGTCACAGGCCGTGCAATATGAACAGGTGCTCGATCGTGTTGAAAGGCGCAATCGCCATCCCCGAATCGCTCTTCAACAGTGGGAAGCAAGAAGGTGTTTAAACCATCCAGCCCCCTCCATGAAAAACACGACCGCACCATAACACTATTTTGAACGTGTCCGGATCACACAGTGTACTAGTGTGCAAGCGCCGTTCGCATTGCGCAGGGGGCCGATTCCGTACGCCGACTGGAACTTCACCATGGCTGCCCAGAGGAACGGCGGCTGCCCGCTGGGGCCCGAGGGGCGGTGCCTGTGCTCGCGGGCGAAGGTGATGGGCGGCTGCACGGTGCACAATTTCATGGCGTACGTTCGCGGCAACAGACGCGACTACGACTCGTGGGCTGCAGCCGGCAACGAGGGCTGGCGCTACGAAAGCCTGCTGCCGTACTTCAAGAAGTCGGAAAACGTGCAGATCCCGGAACTTCGAGGTAGTCCTTATCACGGCACCAAAGGTACGTTGGCATATTCACCTTCAACTTCTTTCCAATAAGTGTGAGAAAGGATCATGGAATGGAATAGAGAACGGTATAACGTGTAATAATTTTGTCTGGTTTTAAGACACACATTACCGAAAAACGACATGGGTTTCAATTATTTTCTGCAACCGTGTAAAAACCGTAGATTCTGTCCATCGCTATCCTTATGTAAAGTTCAATATTTTAATACCCACAAATGATTATCATGGAACATGGCAATAACTGAAGCCATGGAGAAAAGAGAAATGGAAGAAAACGATGTTTAGGATAAAGAGGCATGGAAACTGGGATGCGGAAAACGGCCAAGGCTGTAAAAAACCGCTAAATAGATAGATAGAAATGATTATCAATAAGACAATGATAACGTGACTTTGAAAGAACTTAAATAATTTTGTGAATATCGTCATGCAGGGTGATACAAGCTATACAGAATTTAAACAGAATCAAAGCTAATTTTAATTGGAAATACCAGCACAGAATTCATTATTATTTAAAATCAACTTCCATTATAATTAAATTAATATTGTAGCTCAGTTATTAGCTACATGATCTCGAGATAAAATTGTTAAATGAGATTTCTTACTTAAATTTACCTTTGTGTCCCTAAGCAATACATTTCTGTTCAAGTTCGTACATTACTTCAATATATTATTAGACAGTTTTTTCTATTATATGATTTTAGTACATACTCTTGCCTATCCATCAGTCCGTTTGTGTGTATGGTTGATCATCCGTCTATCCGTCAGTCAATATGTTTGTTTGTCCGTCCGTCCTTCTACCCATGCATCTACCCGCCCGTCTGTCTGTTCGTCTATCCGTCCTTGTGATCGTCCGTCTGCCAGTCCGTCTGCCCATCCTCCAACCTGTTCGTCTGTGCGTCCGACCGGCTGCCTGTCCGGCTGCCCGTCCGTCTGTCGTAGTTTATACAACTCGTTTATAATATTACGTTTTAATGCATGAGTACATTTTTTAAAACCGAGCGACGTTAGGTGTGAGTTTTCAAATTAGTACGAATGCAATAAAGAGATATTACAAAATAGTTGCATACGCTATTTTTTTCTATAACAGCAATAAGAGAATTAAACTTAATTTGGCAAAACAACGTTCTTGTGACATCTTGAGTATTTGACATCTGTTCGAAAAAACGGTAGTCGGCTGTTCCGTTTACTACTACCTCCCCACGATTCTCTCGCTGCGATTGACTGAATGTGTGATGACGAAACCATTCGTGGCATAAAATGCTACTACATCCTCATTTGTGCCATTAAATGACCTTTTATGAACGATGTTTGAAAGAGGAAAGGTAGTTCATAATTCTGGTATCCAAAATATTACTTTCCCTATTCTTTGACAATCGTATAATGTGAGAGAAAGAAGAAATTTAAACTTTGCCATTGTTTCTACAATTCTCGTTTTCACATGTTATACATCACATTTATATACATCAATTATATTTGTATTAACAAAAGAAAAGTTTCCTAATATTTTTCTCTAATTATTATAGCCTTTTAGATTAGCTCGTGCAAATTTCATGCTCTTCTTTAAATCAAAAGTAGTGTGTTATCATTACTTAATTTCATCTCTCATGAAAACATTTCATGAATCATTTCTATCTCCATCTCATAATCACATTCGACATATGCGTATGATGATTTTCTTTCTAAGGTTATCAACGAAATAGCCAGACTCTTTCATAGCTGTCTTCCGGATTCGATACCAGAATGTATAGGAATTTTATCTTCCACGCAACGCATGACCTTAGTATTGAAGCCGTATAAAAGGAGCCTTTCTCAATCACTCGTAAAATGTCAAAGTATTCTTTCAACTCTCTTATTTGAGGTCTCACCGAAGAGATTAAATAATAATTTGAACATTGTAATTTAAGTATCGTAACTTGTGTGGTAAAACGTCGAATAGGTACTAATGTGCAGCATTATCAGGTGCGATTTGTTTTGATAAGCATTCCGTCTTCGCGTAGTTTTGCGTAAAGTTCGGGCGAAAAAGTGTGTGCTGTTTTAGCCCGTCTAGTTTGGTACTGTTCCTAGCCCTTCACCTGCTCCTTTGAATGCGAAAAGACAGCGATTTGTTTTGATAAGCTTTCCGTCTTCACACATGCAACACATGTGTGATAAACACTATATGAGGCCCAAAACTTACCTTGTTCTTCTAATTTTTTATACAAGAAAAAGTGATATGCAAATATCTCAGGAAAGGTATGTTTTCCCTTTCTTAAATAAAAATCAAATATAACTAACTCCAGTATTCCCAATACAGGACAGAATATCATCGCTATCTCTTTCATTACGTTCCCGTTCACTTATTAAATGATAAAACACTATTCCATTTCATAACATCGTCACAATCTAAAGAAAATTGACTCTATTGCTCAACATACAGATCCGTTTATCAAAACTATTTATCCGAATCATTAAGAAATTACAAACTTTGTTTTTAATGTAACAAGTCTTAAACTTCAAATGCTTACAGCTTCAAATAACAATGTATCTTATTCTTAAAATCCACAAACAATACAAAAATTAATGGATACGGAATCATGTATCGAAATACAATAAAAACATTTTAATAAATTGTGCTAAATTACTTATATTGTTTCATTTATTACCTATTCCTAAAAAAAACCTGTTTAAGTTTTTCAAATATAATTTTTTTTCATTAATTTATTACAGGTAACCTAATGAATAGCTACCCATACGAAACAGTCCTCACCAACTACTCCATGGAAGCTGCTCGACTTCTCGGCATCCCTGAGGTGGATTATAACGGTGAAAATCAAACGGGAATTTCTCGCATTCAAACCACAACTTACAAAGGCACCCGTTGGAGTGCAAACCGCGGGTACCTTCTGGGGCTGGACAGGCCCAATCTCTTCGTCCGAAAGTATGCTCTGGTGGTTAAAATCATCATCGAAAACGGCACAGCTGTGGGTGTAGATTACGTTCGGAACAACAAGACTTTCCGGGTATTCTCCAGGAAAGAAATTATATTATCTGCTGGTTCCATCAATTCCCCACAGCTCCTCATGCTGTCTGGAATTGGACGGAAGGCTCATCTGGAAGAATTGGCAATTCCTTCAATTGTAGACTCTCCAGTTGGTCGCACTCTGTTTGACCACGTCATGTTTTTGGGATTGGTTATACAAGTAGATGTTCACCTTTCACCCAGCCGCTTCGAAATATTATCTGACTTTTCTAACTACGTGCGTTACATTTTGAACCATGAAGGTCCCTTGTCTGGATTCAGTGCAGAGGCCCTACAATTCTTCGAGGTAGGACAAGAGGCAGTCAATTTCTCCTGGCCTAACATGCAGTCTGTTGTCTATCCACAGCCCATTATTGCAACTCGCGAAACAGCGTTAGGTTTGGGATTTTCTGAAGAGTTTTTTCAACAGTTTAGTCTCCCCATTGCAAACGACTCAAGCTTTCAGGTGGGGGTAGTATTAAATCGCCCGAAGAGCAAAGGCACGCTTACTCTTCAAGATTCCAGTATTTACTCACAACCCAACATCGACCCTAATTACTTTTCAGACGAAGAGGATATTGCTTTCATAGTAGAAGGCATTAAAAGAACTAAAGAATTTTACACATCAGGACCGTTCTCTGAGTTAGGCGCGCGAGTGTACAATGTATCCATACCCGCATGCGCAGACCATGTGTTCGATAGCAACGAGTATTGGGCTTGTGCTGTTCGGTGGGCATCTACAAGCGAATTTCACCCCGCTGGCACTTGCAAAATGGGTGTTCGTGATGACCCGACTGCAGTGGTGGGATCTGATCTCAAAGTGTGGGGCGTGGAAGGATTGCGAGTGGTTGACGCTTCCATTATTCCATCTCCACTCTCTGGTAATATACAAGCAGCCGTTTATGTGATTGCTGAGAAGGCGTCAGACTTAATAAAGTGTCAATATCTTCAAGAATGTCCATCCAACTAAGTTTTATCACATGAAGCCGAAGGATCCGTAAATTATGGTCGTGAAACTGAGTTGTCCTGGAAACGTGGACCATATTTCTCTATAAGTAAGAATACCAAGAAATAGAAAAATTATATACGTACGGATAAGACTATAAAGATATAGTATTATAAAAATGTAGCACGTATAAACATTGTTGAGAGCATTAGTATTAATTTCATTAATATGTGTGAGAGAGAATTCGTTGCGTAAATTCATGAATAGCATACAGGTGATGTGAATTGCCAGATATTGTATTGTGCATAAGTTGACAGTTTTGCTGTTTTGTGAAATTTCGAATAACATCAATTTTGTACTGAAACATACTAATATAATTGTGAACGTGTAATAAAGTAATCAAATTTAATAAAGAAGTAAAAAGGCAAATATTAATTAGTTATTAAAATCGGTAAGCCGATGTAGAAGAAATAAATGATTGCAACTGAAGTTTGTAAAACTAGGGGTTAGTAGATATCGTTATATGTGATTGTGATTTGTGTCTGAGTCCGTTTTGTGCACTTCATTTTGTGTATAAAGGAAAAACGACAGTAAATGTTATTTAAGTAATCTTCATAAATTAATAATCATTGATAATAAAATAAAAAACCTTTAAAAATGGAAAACAACGAACTATAGTGTTCATGTTTTGTAAATTTACAAATAATTGTGAATTTACCGACCTGGATAGTCGAGGTGGCTAGAGCGTGTACCCATTCAGCACCCCGATCAAAAAGATCACAGCGTCCTGTCACTCCATGGGCATATCCCTTGTTTTGCATGTATGTATGTTTCCGTGGAAGCCCTTGGGAGTGAGAGGACTACAGACCAAGGATATCGCATGTGTCAAGTGTAAAGGTTAATATGTGCCCCCAAGAGGGACATACAGAGTACCCTACGCGGGTATCCGAAATAGGCATCTTCCTGAGGCTAGAACAAGCCCCAGAGAAAAAATAGTATTTACAGACATTCATGTTTTAACCCATTCTTTTGGTGTATTTGTTCATTCACATTGCTTGAAACGCGTCGTTTGCCCCTTCCCGGCTCGGCGCTGGCCCCAGAGCCCCAGATGCGGGCCGCGCCGTTGCCGTGGGGCACCTGGAAGCGTATAAAGCGATTTTTATACGAATGGACCGTTTTGACAGTTAGTCCCGGCAACATAACTGAAGGTTCTGTGGTCATTGCGTCCTTCAGTCTATTTGACTCTCTTTACTTCATTCGTTTGCAGTTGGCTAACTTGTAAATGGCTTTGGGGCTTTCTTTTGTGATGTCCTCGTCCAACGAAAACATAGTTTGTCACGATTAAAAATTAAAAGTAGGAATTGCGGTGCTACTGTGCCCTTCTATAAATATTTTTCTATAAACATTACATTGAATTACTTTTGTGTGATAAGTATTATGTTTATATTAAAACCGAGTCTCGAATGTGGGATGCGTAATAGCGCACGAGTTACCTGCTCCTGTGCTGTAAAGTGGCAAGCTGTAATCGTGAACATAACGTGGTTTGCGTTTTATCAATTAATTTTTTTAATATAATTACCGGTTGCGAACCATGAGAAGCCATGATGTCCTAACGGGAGTCATGTACAAACATAAACCCTTTACGAAGAGGCGTGGCTGAACAGCTGTCGTGGGACACTTCTCTGAATTTGATGTGATGTTCACTTGTTTAACGAACTGTCATTTTGCCTCGTTCTTAGGCGGATTCTTGTATAACGCCTCTCCAAGAGCGTGGCCCTGACCCACTCAAGCCGACGAGGAAACGCAGGAAACTAACTTCCTTTTTGCCTTCCTCGATCATTCCTCTCGAGAGCGAAAGACTTGCGAACCCGTTAAAGTTTTACGTGCGAGATAACAAACATCGCTGGTTTCGATCTACAAAAAGCATTTGAACGAAGAAGGTTTTCCCGTTGCGAAGTCCGTTGGCGCCATAATCTTGGTGTTTGGCGGGTACCGAATAACAAACGAACAATCAATTAGATACTCAAGTATTGCCAACTAATATTGTCTTGTAAAATAGATTTTAAAACGTACTTAACGTGATGTAATTGACTCTAAATATTACTTCACGATTTGCACAAAGGTTTTCGCCACTTCTTAGCTTACCTACTGGTATGTTACTCTCTCTCTCACTTGTTTGTGTCAAGTCTCGTAGAGAGAGACTTGAGGTGACTCAAGTCTCGTATATAACGTTGTTACATGCGAGACTTGAGTCACCTCAACTATCATTTACATATTAATAACTGCAAATCACAGCTGCGATTACTTGTCACTAACAGAAAGACGATAAAATAAACTACTGAAATTTTCTTTACCTGAGAAATATTCAGACATATTCTTGATAATTAATTTGAATAGAAAATTGTTTCATAATCATTTCAAAATCATACATGGGAAAGATTTATGCAAAAGGAGAGCCAAAGAAACTCCCTCCCTGAAAATTTTCCAAAAAAAATTTCAATTTTCAAGTTTCTCCGTAACAAAATATTACTATCGTAAATATATTCAATTCTTGATTGTTCTCTTTATTAATTTAACATTGTTTTATATTTAGGAAAAATATTCTCCAAAGCAGTAGGCTAGTTTTCCGTTTATATTTGTATTGTTTTTTTATTGATTTACCTCCTCAATATTTGTATTGATTTACTCTACGTGTTCGCAACGTATTTCATTCCCTTATTGAAATACCTACAATTATGACAGTACGTACATAAAGAAAACTTTAAATATTGTGAAGTTTCATCTCAATGAAAAGATACAGGAAAAGGCAAACGTTTTGGTAACGAATGCGTATACGAATATACGTGCATATAATCAAACAGATATGTTCCCAAGGTGGCTTATATGGATTTACAAAAATAAAATTCAAATTCTTACGAATTTTAACAACACAAAAGTCTGAAACCATTCCAATCAGAAAGTCATGCACCGAAAATTCGTTATAAAAACTGCAAGCCCGTTGCCCACAGTTCTATCCCATAATTCAGGCATCTGAATGGAAACTCACTCTCGGGAACACCTGGAAGTTTTCAAAGTTGGAGCAAATCCGGCGGCTGGTGAAATAATGAACGAGGGTTTAGGGGGGTTAATGACTCGGAAACGTTAGTTTCGCGACCTCATAACTTTCTAACGCCTTGCGCGCGAAAGTTTCAACTCTATCCTCCGCCACACGCTCGCCCCCGCGCCCACCCGCCCCGCGGCCCTCCGCCACACCGCCGCGCCTCCGCCCCCCTTTCCCCGCGCCGCACGGCCCAGGTCCCCGCCAACCGCCCCCACCTCCGCCAAAGCCTCACTTCGCTCAGGTGCTGCGCTCGTCGAGGTGAGATTGGCGCCGAAGACGCGACGCGGAGAGACGGGAATACCACAAGACGATGGAACTCTGACTGCTCAGTTGTTTCTGTGATGCCCCAGGAGCAGTGATACTAGTGTGGCGTCATACGGGTGTAATCGAACACAGACGAGAGACAGTAGCTTTATTAAGCTGCTTTATAAAGCAGTAGATTTATTAACAATCTAGACCGTATTCTCAATTTAACAATTACCCTGCTCACAATAAACTAAATAAATAGACCCACTACAAGGAGAGATCATTTAAGAATGGCTACCACACCGCAACATACCTCCGATGTTCCCTGTATGAAGCCGCTCTACTTTGAGACGCGTCTCGCAAGTCACGACAATGAATTGCCGGCCCCTCGCCCTAGTACACCTACACGCAAAGACACGCGCTTCACCTGTCGCCGACGCCTCTAGCACAAGAAGACTGGGACATTGTTCTCCTGGCCGTTATATAGGCCCTTTGGCCCTACGCTCCGCCCCCATTGCCTCCTCCCCAAAGCCGCTCTGGGCCCGCTACGTCCACGGAAAGTCCCAGTGCGTCATTACTCCGCCCTTTGTTTAACATCCGGCGATGCTCGCCGATTTCCACGTGGTTGTTTCAAGCGTGGCACGACGCTACACTAGGTATTACTCGCGCAACTTTTCTTGAACGATGACCTTGATCCCCCTCCCTGGTGCAATAAACAGTTGAAGGCAAAAGCTCGCTGCGGGCACTGATGACAACCTTCCAAGCATTAAAACTTCGTTGGCGCGAAACAGAAGCTAGTCATAGCCAGTTGCTTCCATAGTGCACAACCCCTGTTCAGGTTTATTGTCAATAACTAAAGAAATACATGAGTCAGGTCGAGGTCCTTCAAGGGAGTCACCTAAAACCCCGAAAAAGTTAAGCACAAGATGCAGTTTTGACTTTCATTTCACACACCTTGGCATTACTTAAAATACTCTAGTGGCCGACTTTGTAACTAATACCCCAACTCCACCCGAAATCGTCAATCCATCGTTCAAGAAAAGTTGCCCGAGTAATACGTCTGGCGAGCGGTAAGTTAGAACTCAATGGGCATCGATGCGTTTAGTGACATGAAATTCAAAGGTAAATCACAATCACATACCATATTTCTGTTACTCCAAGCCGTAAGGCTTAATATTCCAATAATAACACCATTCAATTTTTGGTGTACTTCTCGAGGATGTAAAGTAACGAAGAAGTGAAGGATTTGATTAATTACAATGGGGATTGTGTATCTGTGGACTACACAACTAAGGTCATGCGGTAGCAATGTTCCAAAGAAATGGGCCGCCCGCCATTAAACATTTGCCATTTTCGTGTTGCATTATGGAGCAGCAAATTTTTTTAGATTCTAAGAATGTAAAAATATGTTGTACCGTATACAAGTTATTCTAAATTATTAGAGTATTAGGGTATATTTTTCGTTAAAATATTTAATTTATTACAATGTTGTATGACAATATTTCATTTGTTTTTTTAGCCAAGTGCGTTTGACTTTTTGGAAAAAAATTATGTGTGGTTATGTTCAGCAGTTTTTTTGCTGCTGCAGAGCAATGCGTTAATTTTTAAACATGCTATTCAAAACTGAAAAGTAATACAATCAGTAAGGAAAATGGAAAAAATACGAGCCATTTTAATTAAAAAGAATATAATTTCCTTTTCCTTTTTAGGTCTATTATCAATGTAAGTGTGTATGTGCCAATTGTTTGTATGAATGTAACATTTAAAGTTTAAAGTAAGCATTCCACAATTTATTTAATCATTAGAATTGGCGTTCCAATCAGACTCACAATCATGAATGCTCACACTATAAGTATTTACAGCTAAGTGAGAATTTTAGCCGTATCAACACAGCCGTGGGACACACTGCTCAGCCACCAGCTCCCAAAAGATTATTTTTTATCTGTCATAATCACGCATTTCACGAACATTTATAAACAACCATCTGTAAAACAATCGAATCGGTATCGAGCTTCTTCGTGACTAACAGCCATCGGTGTGAAATGAATGTACATCTGCAGTAGTCTATTACAACATGCATTATTATACTTATCGAGTTTGCTGTTGTCTCAACTGTACGTAATACGTTTGCTCCATTCCAACTTCTTTCGCAGATAGAAATCGATGAAGGCTAGTGAAGCAAATAAAAAAGTCTCCAAAAACTCCCTACGAAAAGATCAGGTTGTCATTTCAAGATTGAGAACGGAACACTAAATTAACGCATACTTACATTATATCTGGGAAAACCCTCCTAAATATGACCATTGTAAAGTTCTTTTGAATGTAAAACACATATTAATTTACTGTCCTCCATACAAAAGCAGTAGGCAAAAACACCAATTAGTAGCCAGATATGATAACATTTTTAACTCGACAGATTATCAAAAGAGAATTATTTATTTCGTTAAGGAAATCAATATTTACAATAGCATTTAGGGCAACTACTTATTATCTTTGTGTTGTATGTACTGTCTTGTTTGTATTGTATTGAATGCATTCTTTTTATCTTATTGTATGTATGTATTGTATTTTCGTACCGTTTGTGATAATTAATATAACTCTAAATTTCATATTATAATAGTAAAATTCATTTATCTGTTAAGTCGCTAATGACCTTAATGTCGATGCGACGATAAATAAATTGAAATTAATAAACTTCTTTCGCATTTGCCCTATCCATTCACGCTGAATACTCTCAGTCAACAGATGCTAATCCTAAGAATTTGAGACTAATTCGTTGAATTTTTAGAAAACTTTGCATAAAGCTCTTGGAATAATTTCAGTATTTTCTCAACTGTGTCTCTAATTTTTTTCTTTATATTTCTTGGAAGACAACAGTAATACTAGTATGACTACAGTAATAAGTTCAATTTTTACTGTTAATTCTTAATTTTTGAAAATAGAGAAATGTCTAATTTTTTAGAATAATTCTTCAATTATATAGTTGTACGAGTACAGCACTACACCATGGTAGATTTACTTGAATAGAGAAAAGAGAACAGGGCCCACTGGAATTCACAGTCAGTACAAGTATTATTGTTTGTTCTGTAACCACTATCTAGTAGTGGCTATTTTTAAACACTCTCTGAAAATGTCTTTGAATTTTGGATAGTGAATTGTGATGAAGGAGAGAGGATCTGCGGCAAAGCTTTACGTTTGACTTTTCATTTCTTTATGAGACGAATCAAATCGAGTTCACTGAGAAAAAAAATATAGAGAAAATGCCAAGAATTGCTTTATTTTGACCTGGGGGACCAAGTTGAGAACGCAGGGATGCTCTCGGGAATGTGTTGGATGCTCTGCAACTAACATAATAGACTAATACACCAGTCAGTATAGGTGTTGTTTTGTTGTGTATTTTGAAATTTCCCAATATATATATATACATACATTCACAATATATATATATATATATATATATATATATATATATATATATATATATATATATACACACACACATTCCTGTCAATGAATTCCATTGGTAAGCGGCAGTGTTTCTCTCTGTGTGGAACTCAGATTTGTTTTTTTGGATTTGTGTTGATATATTTGTATTAAAAAAATAGTGTTGTACAAAGGTTTCTAGAGTGAGCCAAATATAACATATAAATGATAAAAGACGTTAAGTGTAACTTAAATTTTATGGACTCACAAGTCAATATATCCTGTTGTCGATTAGTAATCCTTCAATAGTTGGAAATTCTCTTTGTATTAATCGAGACAATATTCCGAAAATTATTCACACTTCTCTGTATAATATTCTGGGAATGCTGTTAAAATTGTGATTTAATCATATTTTGTTGTTTTTTTATATTGGAAAGAAAAATTAATCGTTCTGACATGTTATTAAGAGGTTCACACTTCATGCGCTACAAAAGGTGAGACGTTTTACAAGTGATTGCGTAGATCTGTTAGTACAGACAGCCATAGAAGATTTACAATATTAAGTAATCTTCACTGAAAGAAATACGTGGTGTTTTACCACTATTATTACATTTCAATATCTGGTATGACATCGTTATTTGATTTTTACGTATGGCTATTCTTTTCATATTTGATGATGCTTGTCAGAAAATATCAAAAATAAATTATTAAGATTAAGAAGGGGTAGTTACATTACAAAATTGGTGTAATGGTATTATCTGTCGATCTTGTGAATCTACTTGCTTATCATACTCTAGAAAGAATTTGACCGTTTGTTTGCGGTGATTTTAAGTTGGATTTGAGATCTC